ACGTTTGGATTCATTTATAAGAAATGCCATTGTTAATAAACAACATGCGGTGTCAATCTTTATTTATTTAGAAAAAGCGTATGATACCACATGGAAGCATGGCATTTTAAGAGATTTACATGATTTTGGACTGAGAGGACGTTTTCCGCATTTTACATCTCAGTTTTTAAAAGACAGAACATTTCAGGTCCGAGTGGGTTCTACCCTGTCTGACCATTATAATCAAGATCAGGGTGTACCACAAGGTAGTATATTGTCTGTTACACTGTTTAGCATTAAGATTAACAGTTTGTCAGAAGTTTTAAATGACTCAATTGATGGGTCTTTATTTGTTGATGATTTTAACATTTCATGTCGTGGCAAAAATATGCGCACAATTGAACGCCAGTTACAGTTGTGCCTTAATAAAATCCATCATTGGTGTCTCGAAAATGGTTTCAAATTTTCAAAATCCAAGACAAATTGTATTCATTTTTGTCGAAGATATAAACCACATAAAGATCCTGAATTATTTCTTGATGGAACTCCTATTAAGGTTGTAGAACAGGCTAGATTTTGGGGATTGTTTTTGACCATCATTTGACATATTTCCCGCATATCAGTCAGCTAAAGACTAAATGCTCGAAGGCTTTAGACTTGTTGAAAGTCGTGTCGAATTCAAAGTGGGGAGGAGACCAAAAAACCCTCTTCCACTTGTACAGAGCACTTATTCGCTCAAAATTAGAATATGGTTCAATTGTATATGGTGGAGCATGTAAAAGTAATTGAGAAAAAATAGATACAATTCACCATCAAGGTTTAATATTATGTCTTGGTACTTTCAGATCATCACCTATCGATAGCCTTTATGTAGAAGCGGATGAACCTTCTCTTCATCAGCGCCGCATTAAATTATCTCTTCAATATCTCACAAAGTTATGTTCAGATCCATCAAATCCTGCTTATGGTACAGTTTTTAATCCACAGTATGAAGAACTGTTTAATATAAACCCTAAACAAATTCCACCTTTGGGAATTCGGATGAAATCCCATATTACAGCTGCAAATATTGAACTGGAGACTATATGTCCATGCAGGCTTCTCTCAACGCCTTCCTGGCAATTGGTCCGACCGCTAGTGAACCTAGATCTTACTAATCATAAGAAATCTGACACAAATGACTTCATATACCAACAGGAATACATCCAGTTAAGGAACCAATATACTTCCCATCGTTCCATTTTTACTGATGGATCTAAAGATGGTGGCAATGTGTCCAGTGCCACTGTCATCGGATCAAACAATATCCCATTCCGATTACCAGACAATAGCTCCATATTCACAGCAGAGTCCATGGCAATATTGACAGCCTTGCAATACATTAAACGTCAGTCTCATCATAAACAATTTGTATATATTATTTTCTGATTCATTGTCATGTCTTCAGGCAATGAAAAAAACATGTCTTCGGACCATCCCGTCATTCTAGATATATTGGACCTATACAATGCTCTTGCCACTAGTCAATACGACATTGTCTTCTGTTAGTTGCCCAGCCATGTTGTCATTGTGGGAAACACAATGGCTGATGATGCAGCAAAAACAGCACTCACCAAATCTGTGACACCACTTCTTCTACCATATAGTGATTTCAAACCTATCATTAGATCTTATATCCGCGATCTGATGCAGAAGGAGTGGGACACCCGAGTAGGTTTCAATAAATTACATGCAATAAAACCAACTATCGGTTACACCTACTTGGGTTGTAAGTCCAGATTTGAAGAGGTCATTATGCGACGGTGTCGTATTGGTCATATTCGTTATACACATCAACACTTGTTAAAAGCTGAAGATCCTCCTTTCTGTATCCCTTGTGATGAGAGAATCACTGTCAGGCATGTTTTGCTAGATTGTGTCGATTTCTCTCTCACAAGGGATCTTTATTATCATTCCACTAGTCTAATGGATCCTTTTAGTAATGTCAAGGCTCATTTTATACTTGGCTTCTTAAGAGAAATTGAACTGATAGATAAATTTTGAAATCGATATCTGTTTTAAGTTGGATTAATATTATGATCAACTAAGAACACATATGGCGGTGTCACTAAGAGGGTTAAAATAGTGAAATATAAGTCCATTGTTGATCAAAGTGCATAATATTTTGTCTAGTGTTTTAGAATTTTGATTGGCCTAAGTATTTTAAATATTGGCTAGCAGAATTTACAACCACTGATAACCAAAGGGATGGCATAAATCCTGCTAGGAAATCATGTAGGAAGCGAAAGCACTGTAAGTTCTCTTGATCCCCAGTAAGGTGGTTATTGGTGGTTTATAGCCTAGTTTTAATTGGTACGGATGCATCTATTGGATCTACTCTCTTCTTATATATATACTACTCAAAGTTTGATAAGGATCATATTTTTCAGCACTTGTAAAACTTTCAACAAAGGTGAATGACAACCAACACAGAGTGATTGATGTTCAGAAATGTTTACTTCAAGAAATTGTGACAGAAAAATTTGGCAAACATGACATTTCATCGCGTACTCCTAAGGTAAAGGGAGAGTACCATAAAAAGCATGGTAATTTCATGATCACGAAATTGTTTAAACTCTGCACATTCCATTTCACACTGCACAAACAAGTGTCAATAGCGGGTATGGCCTCCGTTAGCTCAATGACAGCTTGGCAACGTCGTCTCATGCTTCCAACGAGGTTTTGAATGGACGCAAGATAGAGATTGTTCCATTCTTGGATCAGAACATTTTCAAGTTCCTGGAGGGTGGTTGGTTGTACAGGACGACGTGAAATCGCTACCTGAAGCATATTCCAGACATGCTCGATAGGGTTGAGGTCTGGAGAACAGAGCTGGCCAGTCCATACGAACAATTGTCTCACGTTCCAGGTACTCGTCCACCACCCTAGCACGATGTGGACGTGCATTATCGTCCATGAGGATGAAGTCAGGACCAACAGCACCAGCATATGGTCTCACGTACACATCAGGACTTCATCCCTGTAGCGCACTCCGGTCATCGTGCCTCGCCTTAGGACATGGAGATCAGTTCGTCCAGCTCGACTGATTCCTCCCCAAATCATCAACGACCCACCACCATATCTGTCGTGTTCAGCAACATTAGCGTCCTGATATCGTTCTCCTGCCCTTCTCCACACTCGTGCACGACGATCTGTGAAGTCAACACAAAACCTCGACTCGTCTGTGAAAGTACAGGGGCCCAATCAACAACCCTCCAATTCACATGAGCCCTGGCCCAATTCAAACGATCTTGTCTGTGTCGCTGAGTAAGAGGGATGCGAATACAGGCTCTCCGGGAACGAAGACCAGCTTCATGAAGACGATTACGCACAGTTTGCGTGGAAATGTTAACTCCAGTTGCATTCAGAAGATCATTTCTAAGCGCAGTCGCCGTTGCAAACCGATGACGTTGTGCTGAAATCAAGAGAAAACGGTCATCTTGCTGCGTGGTGGACCTTTCTCTGCCGCCTCCATGTCGATGAGAAGCTGAACCATGAGCTTGATACCGGTTCCAAGCTCTGCAAACAACGCTCTGACTGACACCCAATAGCTCTGCAACGTGACGTTGTCTTGCACCATTTTCGAGCATTCCTATGCATCTGGCCAATTCTTCAACAGTCAAACGACGTCTTTGACGTTGTGGAGGCATTTTCATAGAGTAACAGTGACTTAAACGATGTCAGATGTAAAGACAATGCCCAAATTCAAATCAACGACAAGCACTCAGAAATGTGAAAAATGTGGGTACCATGCTTCACGTGCTACTCATGATCATTGCAGCATGCATTTCCCTACCTAACCTGTGTTTTGAGGCTCAAGAGGGGTCAGTCAAACATTGTGTTGAAATTTGCGTGTCATATCAATTCATATATTGATTTTATAATGTAAGAACTATATGATCCTTATCAAACTTTGAGTAGTATATATTTTTAATTATGGTCAGGTTGGGTTTTTTTTCAAAACTGTGATATATACACCTATTTCACTGTCCTTTGTCGACAGATATCTTAAAATGATTACCTTGTTTTCTTCGCTATATGGCTGTAATATTGCCGACACGATGTACACTTTTAACTCATTCACTCACTCCTCCACCTCCTACATAGAGAACCACGCTTCCTCTACCTGCGTCAAGCTGAAGCGGGCTTCCTCCACTTGTGACATGTTGAACCCTCCTTCATCCACCTCTTACAAAGTGAACCAGGCTTCCTCTACCTGCGTCAAGCTGAAGCGGGCTTCTTCCACTTGTGACATGTTGAACCCTCCTTCCTCCATCTACTACAAAGTGAACCCGTCTTCTTCCACCTGCTACAAAGTGAACCAGGCTTCTTTTACCTGCGTCAAGTTGAACCGGGCTTCCTCCACTTGTGATATGTTGAACCCGCCTTCCTCCATCTACTACAAAGTGAACCAGGCTTCTTATCTGCAACAAGTTGAACCAGATTTCGCACCCTGTTGCAAAGTGAACCAGGCGTCTTCCACCTACAACACGGTGAACCCGGCTTTTCCACATGTGACATGGTGAACCCGACTTACTCCACATGAGACATGGTGAACCCGACTTTTCCACATGAGACATGGTGAACCCGACTTACTTCACCTGCATCAGAGACCATGTAATAGGTCAATAATCTTATTAGATATCAGATGAATCCTATTGTGTGGTCTCTGTTTGCAAGAAGATGAGCCTGACTTCCTCCACTTGCTACAAAATGCACCGACATCCTCCATCTGTCATTAGATGAACTAGATGAAGGCTAATTAGTGATAACGATTTTGTAACACTGAGTTCAATTGGAACTGGAAATATTGCCCCGGTATCGAAAGTTGTTAAATTGCCTGTTGTCTCGTATGGATGCCGGTTATTCAAGCACATAAAGCCGTTCCAGTCTCGGTCCCTTCCCACTGCTATTGATTGCTTAGCAGTGAATCCTGATTGATCCTGAAGACAAACTCAGAGTCAGAATAGGCAGAACAGATAACGATGAACAGGGCATTGCTGTTGTTCATGCTGTGCAAGTGTTTAGCTGCTAGTATTACTTCTACGCACTTTAAAAACCGCCCCGAATACAATGATATGAGTGTCAATGGTTTACTGGAGGAACCCAATGTGTTGAACAGAGTACATTGTGGGGTGCTCTGCTTAAAGAATCAATGCTTGGCGTTCATCTATAATGCAAATACAAGGGTGTGCCGCCGTAGTTCGTCCCTCCCACAAGCACACGAGGTAGACGTTCCTGAAGTGGGTGCACGGTTCTACGAAACAGGTAAATACAACCAACAGCATCCTGTTTTCATATTCATACGAAATATCTGTACATACCCTATTGTACAACTCCGACTTTATCATGAGTACGTTTTAATAAATCACTATATATATATGAAATACTGAAAATACCGAGTATTTCCTCAAATTGAGCGCATGAGTCTCCATTGTTTTAACCGGTCACACACATGTGCAAAGGTAAGCCAATTTGTCACTTGATAGGTCAAAGGAATTGATGGGACATCACTTATGTAAAATGTGGAAATATCCTCCACATGTCTGCTGAGATCTTGACTGTGGAAGCGTTTATACAAAGGGGAACGGTCAGTGGAATAGAGTTGGTTATTATGGTTACTGAACGATATCAATTCTTCGAATGGCCTGTGGCTGAAATTTAACATCTTGGCCAAATAACCTTGTTTTCAGTTTGTCAACACCTGTTGAAATACGAATCCATATTCGTTAAAACGCAAATCAGTAGGGAGGTTAGAATTCACGTGGTTCTAATTCCCCTTGCCTGTAAACATATAGAAATTCATTCCTTGAACTCCTGAGGTTTATAATTATCCTTTGTTATAGGGACTTGGGGTACATTCGCTGGGCCCAGCCATATATTTCTCCTATTAGTGATTTTTCTAGGGCTTTCGAATCGAGTTCAACCGAGGAAATGGACATTGCTACGGGTTTCAAAGGAGTCAAAACTGATGCAAGGTTTTGGTAGCTCAATAATGACCTTATCTGTGGCATAAATCGAGACGCACACCAATTTCTTTCATGTCTATGGCGACTCCCATTGTTTATCTGATGACACCCGTTGTATGTCTGTGGCGACTCCCATTGTTTGTCTGATGACACCCGTTGTATGTCTGTGGCGACTCCCATTGTTTGTCTGATGACACCCGTTGTATGTCTGTGGCGACGCTCATTGTTTGTCTGATGACACCCGTTGTACGTCTGTGGCGACACTCATTGTTTGTCTGATGACACCCGTTGTATGTCTGTGGCGACTCCCATTGTTTGTCTGATGACACCCGTTGTATGTCTGTGGCGACTCCATTGTTTGTCTGATGACACCCGTTGTATGTCTGTGGCGACACTCATTGTTTATCTGATGACACCCGCTGTATGTCTGCGGCGACTCCCATTGTTTATCTGATGACACCAGTTGTATGTCTGTGGCGACACTCATTGTTTGTCTGATGACACCCGTTGTATGTATCTGAAACGACACCCTCTTGTAAGTCTGTAACGACACCAGTTGTATGTCTGAAACGACACCCATTGTTTGTCTGTTACGACACACCCTGTATGTCTGTCAGAACATTCTTTGTATGTCTGTGACGACACCCGTTGCTTGTCAGTGATGACACCACTTGTATGTCTGTGACGACACCAGTTGTATATCTGTGACGACACATCTTGTATGTCTTTTACGACATCCATTGTTTGCCTGTGTGATGATACGACTTGTATGTGTGTGATGACATCCATTGTTTGCCTGTGACGACACACCTCCCCTGTATGCCTGTGACGACACGCCTTGTATGCATGTGACGACACACGCTGCTTGTCTGTGATGACACCAGTTGTATGTCTGTGACGACACACGTTGCTTGTCTGTTATGACACCAGCTGTATGTCTGTGACGACACATCTTGTATGTCTGTGACGACACATCGTGTATGTCTGTGACGACACACCTTGTATATCTGTCAGAATATCCTTTGTATGGATGTCTGTGTCGAAACCTGTTAGTCTGTGATGTATAACATGATGTTACAACAAGCTTTTTAAATGCGACACCAGTAAAGATAAAGCTATTGTTGTGTAATTTTGAATTAAGTTACTTTTAGGAAAGACTATGCGTTAACTCGACTGATTCGTTTCTCTTTAAATTTACTCAGCGTTTAAACTTGACATGTATACAGAAATGGCTTTGGTCGTAATCCAGAGGTCTTAAAATCCTACATCAACATTACCACACAAAATACTAACAATAACTAGATATAACGTTTTAATGGTTTGAAAGAATGTGTTTTGTGAGAATGCGGCCATACTACTAAGAGGAGCGGACTTAGAAGAATTAACGTACAAGAGTTCAGGGATTACCTCCCTTCAACTGTCAAACGTGATTGCGATAGACGATGCAATAAGCTGTACCAAGTGCCCATTGCCTACATATAAACTGAGTGGAAACGTTGTATGACCCTGCACTCTTTTTACGCCTGTTACAACACACAATGTCTGTGACACAGAAACCGTTAGTCTACGGTATTCTGTTGACAGTGTATACTTTTGACAGGAGGGTCTAACTGTGTGCTCTAGGTGGACACAGGTTAACTGTGTGTTATGCATTGACAGACAAGCCAAACTGTGTATTACACATAAGCCCTATCTGTGTGTTATACTATTGACAGGGAAGCCCTAACTGTGTAATACATTGACAGAGAGACCCTAACTGTGTGTTATACATTGACAGGGAAGCCCTAACTGTGTTATACATTGACAGAGAAACCCTAACTGTGTGTTATACATTGACAGAGAAGCCCTAACTGTGTGTTATACAGCGATAGAGAAGCCCTAACTGTGTGTTATACATTGACAGAGAAGACCTTACTGTGTGTTATACAGTGATAGAGAAGCCCTAACTGTGTGTTATACAGTGATAGAAAACCCCTAACTGTGTGTTATGCATTATCAGAGAGGCCCTAACTGTGTGTTATACTGTTGACAGAGAAGCCCTAACTGTGTGTAAGTCTCGCTCATTCTCAATAAAAGGGCGCATTTGTGTCGCCGCGCTGGCTTATTTTCCTGGCTTTCCTTTTTAGTTCATTCTTTTGCATTTTGCAACATGTCACCAAATATATCCAATTGATTGTTAATTTTGAAGCGTACGTGACTGTCGCCGCAAGTGGTATACACACCTTAAACGACAGTCAGTATGTAATTTTCATTACTAATAACCCGGTAAACAGACTGTAGTATTTTGCAATGATAGACGTTTCATTTACCTATCAAAGAAACTAAACAGGACGTGAAATAACTTTACTGTCAAGTCTAAAATGTATGTCGTCAGTTTGTAATTTATGAAAATTTGTGTCAGTTTTCTTTAGTTTATTAAATGATTTTGGGCACTGTTTAAGATATATGTGAGTAAGACACATCTGTTTTGAGATAGGTGAAGCCCATTTCTGGTCTACCCCCGCCGTGATATTGCTGGAATATTGCTAAAAGCGGCGTAAAACCATACTCACTCACTCACTGTTTTGAGATAGTCATGAGAAAGAGCTGTGAAAAGAAGTCTGACAGATCCCCAAAGTTTGCATGTTTCTACTCTGTCCCTATTTGAACAAGGCCTGTCAAAAGCGTATGGTTAAAGATGTAATGTACGTGGCTATTATATTATCAAAGTAAACAAAATATATCGAAATTTATCTTGCATGATAATTATTAACATTAACGGTCTCATCACAAAATCAACATTTTTTGTTTAATCCTTAACAAGTTTGAGCAGATATTGGGAAATTGTTGATAGAAAGAAATGTACGTTACTGAAATGTACGATACCAGTACATTCGGATTTTCTTATTCCGACGTTGTCCAGCTCAATACCACTTTTGCACACGTCACTATTTTAACCCACCACGTGTCATAGAGTCCTGAGGCGGCAGATCTACGAATTAATATCTTCAGTATCGCTCAAAATATGATTAAATGGTGATTTAAACTTTAGTACCAATATGTTTCTTTGTCTCATAGAACGTAAGAGAAACATAGAAAGAGTTTTGTTCATACAATTCATTCCCCTAGGGTCAATTTGGTTGTGGCTGATTGTGAACTATGGTTGACGAACTATGTATGTAAACAGATAGTGAAATGTACGTTACACTGGGTATCCAGTTATTCATGGACATTTAAAGTAAACATCAATTTCATAAGCTTTAATATTATTAAATCCTTATGATGTTTAACTAGTATGAAGAATGGATTAAGCAGATATATCCATGCGTTTATTATTTTACGTCTTGAATTCAAATGTAAAACAATTTTGCGAAAAGCTATTGATTTTTAGGCTATTTAAAGTTTGGAAATCGCTTTCAATTGCTACTGATACTTGCATAATCATACATGATGTTGGTGTAATTGTTTGTATGTAGCATATAAATGTAACTCAGGTACCTAGAGAGAATTTCGGGTAAATCATGAGAATACGTAAGATGGTAACGTACATTTCAAATGTTCTTCAAGCAGATGGAGAGGATAACACAGCTGAAATATCCTTTTTGAAGAATGAGTTAGTGAGTGAGTCGGGATTTACGCGCCTTTAGCAATATTCGAGCAGTATTACGTCGGGACACCAGATATGGGCTTCATACGTTGTGCCCATGTAGGGAATGGAACTATGGCCTTCGGCGTGACGAGGGAAGGCTTTAACCTCTCGGCTACCCAACCGCCCATTTTTGGAGAAAAAACGCTTTTTGGTTCAGTACTCTAAATGTGATAATGATGTATGGTTTCCAGCTTCTGATGTGATGTGCAAGATAGATGAACCTGTAGGCAAATCTCGAAGAATGCTGAAATTGGATGCTGTTGAGAAGCACAGAGTGTTGGATGTATTTGCAGTTAGAGATTTCAGTGAATTGAAAGTGTGTTTGCTTGTTTCTCAGTCAAACCTTACTGATTGTGTGGAATATTATAATTCATAGAGCCACAGACCGATAGTACAATGAATACTACGAACGAGAGTCACGGCAGTATGATGTAGTATCAAACTTGGATGTGAGAGATGATTTTACTGATTTGAAAATATAGGTTGCTTAAAACGATTTATGTCGTTTTTACCACATCTTATTTTGTTCTGTCTGTTGAAGTGAAATTTGCAGTATTTATGTGACAATTCATAGTTTCAGAACTGTGCTACAAAGGCAGTAATGTACGTTACATTTCATACATGTACATGTTCATGGAATCCTTTCAAGAAACGAACAAATTCGAATACTTCATTTTGAAATTATTGCGTAGATTATAATTTAATTGTCGACTTCTAGAAATGTTCTTGTCTCTAAACATGTGTATTTTGTGGACATCACATAAACCAAATGATGTAGTTTGAAATTACACTGACATGATTTTTGGCAGAAAAGATACGTGACCTTTGAAGATCTCGACTGGAACTCTTCTTTGCTATTCATGACAGTTATTTGTTTTTATTAAAACCAGAATATTCTCCACTACGGTATGGAAGAAGAGAATATATCTTTAATACTTCTGTTTATTACTAATCAACGTATAGGAATCGCTTTCACCGTAACGTACATTACTTAGCTACATCTTTGGAAACTCGAAGCATTACTTTGAGTCGAAAAATAATATGTTTAAAACAAAGATTACTTGTTGTATATTATGTAAACCTAATACTCTACTCTGAAATAATCTTATAGTTAATGAATATATTAACTTTATTTTTCTACTTTTGATATCGTCAAATGCAACCATTTATTGAGAATGAGTGGTTATACGTTGACAGAAAAGCCCTAACTGTGTGTTATGCATTTACAGAATAGCCCTAACTGTGTGTTATGCATTGACAGAGTGTTATGCATTGACAGAGAAGCCCTTACTGTGTTATGCATTGACAGAGAGCCTAACTTAACTGCGTGTTATATACGATGACAAGGCGTGACCCGTGAAGATCCAAGCCCTAACTGTGTGTTATACATTGACAGAGAGGCCTAACTGTGTGTTATACATTGACAGAGAAACCCTAACCGTGTGTTATAAGGTGACAGAGAAACCCTAACTGTGCGTTATACTGTTGGCAGAAAGGCCTAACTGCGTCGTTAATGCAGAAGCTGTAACTGGCTGCGTATTGTTGCCCTACCATCCCAACTATCTCAGCCTTCTGTGACAATATTCTTCACTATTAGCTGAATATCTCTTCCTTACCATAACGTGCCACTGTTTTAGCAGCGTCCTTCCCAGAATTTACTATGTTTTTGTTTATCTTAATTGTCACTTTGCTAGTTGATAGAACAATTTAGAACACTATTTCTAGGAGTTCCTGAAGAAACACCTCCAGCTGCAAATCCACACAATTGCTCTGACATAAAGCAATGTCTTCCTGGGGCCACTGACGGTGAATACTGGATCTACTCACCTACCTTGGGCAACAAGAAGGTTCGAATCTACTGTCACAACATGTCAAGTGTACCCAGCGAGTATGTGACCTTGTTCCATACTAACAAGGGAGACTACCCAGGCGTCAGAGACCTTGACTGTGACGGGGAAGAGCCAATGACGGGTGGAAAAGCTGGAGTCACAAGCTTCTCGAGAGTCAAGGTCAACGCTGAGGTATGTCAATGATTAATCATAATTTAACTACATAACTGTTAGTGATAGAGTCTCGACCAAAACATCTAGCAAGCTGTATATCCACGCTATTGGGGTCCGTAGTCATCAAATGTCACCCCATGAAGATTCATTGATTTTGATCCCCATAGTCCTTAGTATGGTGATCTACCTTCTGTTGTTGGCGATCTATAGCCTATTTTAATATTATGTATTGTCCAAAAAGTGCTATTAGTTTTAACTTTACATGCTAGTTTTAAATTCGAACTGTGATAGTCTAGTTGTTCTACTGTCCTTTGACGACAGGTTTTATGATATATACATCTTTCTAATCGTCAAATTTGTTCTCGTCACGATATGGCTGAAACATTGCCGATGAGACGTTAAATATCAACTCACTCATTGATTTTGTGCATGACATGAAGTGGGGTCACTTAATTTGTACATTAATTTTAGGAGGGTTCATTCACATTGTACATTCTTCTCAGTAACATTCATCGTCCGCCCTCATACCCCAGTCGCCCTAAGACTATAACACCACCACCAGCTATATAATGGACGCCAATAAGCTTCTTATTGGCCCAAGTTGCCCTAAAACTGTCCATCTAGGTTCTAGGGCCACCAATTCAGACCTGTAGAACGTGTTTTGTTGGTGAATATTTATACAATGACATGACAACCACCGAAACATCTCTGTATGCAAAAAGACCTTTTTCTAAGTTTTACTCTTGCAGAATATGACTGTGATAACAGACGACTATGAGTTTGCATTTTCAACGGGCACACCCAGCCCGTACGGACAGGGTCTGGACTGCTACACCCGCCATTCTGGGAATGTTCGGAATACATGTGGACCCAAGGGAACATTCCTCATAGACACCAGAGGAACCGGGCTATTGTTCAGTAAAAATGTACGTCTATGTGTCACTTTTTCTTATCCCGACCTATTTGAACATTATCTTCAACATGACCTACATGTGCGTGAAGCTTTATCATCATCCCAAAACACCTGTTATGCAATTCGACATATGTATTCTAATTTGCTTAACCCGTCATATTTACAACCCTTGTTTGACTCCGCATGTATGTAACACAATCGTTTACGTGTATTTCGCAAGTGCTGTAGGGGTCTCAAACAGACTAGTCTGGGTTAGATTTACCCCTCATTTATTCACACAAGACAGGACTGAGCATCATTTTTCACTAGCCCTCTCATTAAACAAAACATCAACACGATTAACCTTTTATGATATGGCAATATAAATGAAATGTTGAGCAGGAAACAGAGTTTTACATCTATAAATCTTTGAATCTGTTCAATATATTTATGGGCTGTGTGAAACAACTACACATTTTCACTATAGTAACGATATGGGTTACAATGTAGGATTTCGTTCCATGTTTATGCTATCAACTACTCTTAACCAAGATTCAGCTATTTACAGCTACAGAAGGTATAGTGTTGAGTAAGACGTAAAACAACAGGTTGCCATGATACAGAAGGTATAATGTTGACTAAGACGTAAAACAATATTCACTCACTTAACGAAGCAGCTTGATATCCCACTCACTAACGCGCTCTCAGTTTTTGAGAAAGTCAACAAGGGCCGTATTACCTTCTGCTACAGATACAATGGCAATACAAGAACCCTAATTCTTGGGGAATCGCACAACGTTTCCATAATGGAACAGTGATTGAGATTCTTGGAGGGGGGAACTGCGGGGGTGTCAAGCCGGCGGAAGACCTCCAGTTCGAGACTAACACCAACGAAGGTACGCAATGACGGGTCATCTCTGAAACACAACAAGTGTTTGGCAGCTAAGTCTTGCACGTTGTACTGTATGTTAACTGAACTAAGTTATCGAAAATACATTTACAAATAATGACAAGGTCCAGAGATATAACTTGGAATGAATTTCTACAACACTGGTGTGTTTCAGATCTCGACGCACAGAGCGCAACAAGCTGTTAGACTGACGGAAGATACTACAGAAGACACATTAGCTTCATACCATTGATATATTACTTTCTGCTGATTTCCTACGATCGAGATGTATTTTCTGTACTGTACAACCAATCCGTTTCTTCAGGAACAAATCAGTTCATGAACGTAACTTTACTGTAGAAATATAGAGAGTACAAAGTCAGATGACAATAATGGATTACAATCACAATATTGCAGACGTTTTTTCTATGTACAAAAGTATGTTGGATATACATACTAAGTTTGCGAATATAACTTGTATTATAAGTGTTTATTAACAAATCAAATTTACATGTATTAGAATATATATGATAATATTGCGGTAGATATTTTGTCCTTAAATCAGTGTAGTAAGGACATACGAACAAATGGTGGAACATTTGTTCTTCAAATACATTTAATGTACAAAATTTACACAATCTGTTCATTCTTGGAATATTATAATATCAACCCTTCTCGATCATAAGATCATGTGAAGAACATCTAAATCTGGATAATGAAACGACTTCTATCGTGTAAGTATTGCTCGGTATTTAAAACAGTTATAATAGATTTGGGCAACTGTATAACAGATGAATTCCAAGTCTGAATGAACATATCTTTTAATCTTTGTAATACGGCATTAAAAATGACTTTGAGCAAGTGATTTTTGTGACAATAATACATCACATTAAGGAAACGTCTAACATCCGTTACCCAATTTGATACATTTAGTAAATTTTTAACATTTGTTGCCCAATTGGAGTTTCCGTTAGCGTCAAACAAACACATCATGTTATGAAATCTTGATGCATGCAAATACAAGAGCCTTCACCGGGAAGCGAACGAATTCACCATAATTCATCACATTTGGGCTATTTTATTTAACTCCTTAAACCTTTTATACGTATATAAGTGAACCTTTTCCAATACTTCCGAACGAAATACCACCCCCACCCCCACCCCCGACCTCTGCCCCATATAACAGATTGGTTTAATTTTGTATCAAATATTTTTGAAAAATGATTTTAAATTTACAATGCCCAATTTCTTTAAATTCCTGCAAATGCCTATAGACACCTTCTGTCCATGTAAAGCAGCACCATTTACATGGTGATATCATGACAACATATTGGCAAATTGGACACCTAGATATTTATACCCTTAATCAGCATGTAAGTGTTCTCTGTCATACCGCCACTTTCTGATTTGGACAGTTTTCGGCCATTCTTGATTGCAACAACTTTGATTAAGCATAAATTCAAGACAATGGCTTTCCAACTCAGTAATTTGTTTTCGCAGTCCTTTCACTGTACTTGAAAATATGATGACATCATCAGCAAACAATAACAAAAATACCTTAACAATATCTGGAGGCAACTGAATACCCTCTGTACATGTTTGATACACAACTGTCGCTAATTAATTTCTGAAGAAAATAAACAAAAATGGGCTTAGTATACAGCCTTGGCATACGCCGATATTGCAATCAAATGTTGATAACATAACACCATTATGACCAACACATGGTTTCACATTATTAAATATAGTACATGACAATTTTCCCATTTTACTACTCAAGCCGTGCTGGGTGAGTAACTTCCATAATCTATTCCTATCAACTCGCCGACACGCCGAATAGCCCGACTTGGATTCCCCACATGGTTACAATGTGTGAAGCCCATTTCTGGTGTCCCCTACCTTGATGTTGCTGGAATACTGCTAAAGTCGGCGTAAAACTAACTCACTCACTCTCCATAGTTGATAGCGTATGAGACCTTTACACATCACTTCACACATTAAGGTGATATAACTGGAGTAATGTTCAAATGGACATATAACCTCAATCACTAACTTATACATTTGCATGTGTTACAATATGTCCACATATGCAAAAAATCAAGACAGCGCAGTGCTACAAGGTGAACTCAGCTTCCACCATCTGCTACAAGATGAACCCGGCTTCCACCATCTGCTACAAGGAGAACTCGGCTTCCACCATCTGCTACATGGTGAACCCGGCTTCCTCCACCTACTATAGTCCGTTTGGCTCAAAAGCGGACCAATGAATTGCAATCTAACTCGAAAACTAATAAACATAAAATACTCAATGAAACGCTGATCATAATCAAAACATCATACCCATTCTGTGAGGTTTTTGCAGAATTTTTGTCCTAAAAATAAAAAAGTTGTTAAACAATCTATCATTAAAATATTGACACAGTTCACTATTTGTTACGAGGGAGGAGTGCAGAGAAAGGGACAGTCAGGTGTTCGAGAACGGATGGAGACGGTACAGCATAGGTTAATGAATAAATAACTTTGTCTGTGAACGTGCTTCTCGAACAACTTTTTACTACTGTTACAATTATTTATGTAGTGTACCATAAATTTAAAAGCAATATATATATACCAAGATTTATAATAGTTGACAATTTGAGTTCATTAAGTTAGTAAAAGATTCCTGTGATGGATTTACAGTATAGTTACATTTAATATACCTTTCCGTAAATCAGTTGTATGTTGTATATACCTATAAAAAGTGAAATTCATTTTCAATATAATCTAATCAATAACATGAACAGTGAGTACATAATCTACATTCACTATCAATACCAGTTCTTCGTCCCACTTCCACCATTAAATTATGATTACCACATCTAAAACGACTTAAATCTTGGCTATAAACTTGCTCTCCTGCATATTGATGACATAGGATTCCACATTTAATACTGACTTGTAGATGACGTATAAACTAAGCCTTGAATGTCCAGCAATATTAGTGCGCCACTGTTGCATGTCGATATGCTTGATGCGTTGTTTGACTTCTGAAAGTTTTCACGGCTTCAAAAATCTTGAGTTATCCATACGATCCCAAATCCTAATCTATGTAAAATGTCCTTTAAGAATGATACCCATGAAATACGTATAGGAAGATCAAGTTGATATAGCATTTGATATGTCTGTTTTGGTAATCTTCTGTTCTCCATGATAAATAATTTGCTCCAATAGGTGATAGACTTCATTACTTGCATTGTATAAATAGAGTGTTGTCCATAATATCCAAGAACAGCGGCGTTACAAGCTGAATTTGATAATCTTATAATCCTTTTGAAGTATTTTGTTTGAATTGTTTCAATAGTTCTGTAAGTTTGATACCCCAGATTTCCGATCTAGGGAGAAGTAAGTATGGGAATCACAATGCTGTCTAAGAGTCGAGATGTAATAGGAAGTAATGCTGTAATGAATTAAGGCTATGGAGTAAAGAACATGTTTTTTTCTGCTTGTTGCGCCAATGTTGAGGTGGCTTTTGTCCAGACGGCTATTGGTGTGAAAACAACTACTAAATATCTATGATGTGAAACAACCTTTATCTCGGATCCTTTGAAGTGCCATTTCTCATAATGCCGTAAATACATGTATCCTCCATATGTAAACACAACTATTTGGGATTTGTTGATATTCAAAGAAAGACCCAATAGAAGTCTTCATGCACTATCTGCTGAAGTTGTGACGTCATTTGCGCATAATAATGGACATATATTCGGCGCATCTTCTGATATAAAAGTCCCTCTGCAGTTTGAATCTTCCATCCCTGAAGAATTACACTTTTCATGATAAGGTTACAGATGCCACTATTCTTCGGATCTAGATGCAGGCATCTGTATTCTTCCATCCCTGAAGAATTACACCTTTCATGATAAGGTTACAGGCCACTACGGATCTAGATGCCATCTGTATTCTTCCATCCCTGAAGAATTACACCTTTCATGATAAGGTTACAGGCCACTACGGATCTAGATGCCATCTGTATTCTTCCATCCCTGAAGAATTACACCTTTCATGATAAGGTTACAGGCCACTACGGATCTAGATGCCATCTGTATTCTTCCATCCCTGAAGAATTACACCTTTCATGATAAGGTTACAGGCCACTACGGATCTAGATGCCATCTGTATTCTTCCATCCCTGAAGAATTACACCTTTCATGATAAGGTTACAGGCCACTACGGATCTAGATGCCATCTGTATTCTTCCGAATCTGTCCGGGCTATGGACTATCCTTAGAACCTCTTTTTAGTTTGCATTGAAATATAGCTGTGAAAGGTATATTACTGGGTCACTGAAAATCGGTGATGACACTAGGTGTTCGTGGAAAGGGTGGGGATTTGTCCTGCCTTACAGACAGTACCGTTATTCACGCATAATGTAACAATCAAATATACATGTACAAACGTAATAGGAACATCAGATGTATAAACCATAAATATGATCAAGAAGGCTTGCCATTGGTGGAGGCATTTTGAATTATGCGCAGCAGGATAAGTATTATACAATATCCAACAATTTACATACGATTGGTGACAACGTAATTCACAAACTTCCATGCGCTGTCCGAGCGGGTATGTTTTGACATTGTCTGTTTGTGGCCTTCCCATAGTTAACACTGCGTATAATTTCTCAGTGCACCCGATCCTAGATATATCGCATGTAAAATGGTAACATATTTGAAAATCAGTCCCGTTTCACTCATGCTGTGATAAGAGCAAACAATCAGCATCAATGCGTTGTTTTCCTATTCCATTATGAAATCTAAGCCCCTTGGAGTGGTTGCCAGAATCCAACACGCAGTCGGGAATAGCGTAAGTGCGTTGGTCCCTTACTCCATTTTGTAATCTATGTCCTTTGGAGTTGTTGCCAGAACCCAACACGCAGTCGGGAATAGCGTAAGTGCGTTGGTCCCTTACTCCATTTTGTAATCTATGTCCTTTGGAGTGGTTGCCAGAATCCAACACGCAGTCGGGAATAGCGTAAGTGCGTTGGTCCCCTATTCCATTATGTAATCTATGTCCTTTGGAGTTGTTGCCAGAATCCAACACGCAGTCGGGTATAGCGTCAGGGTCATCGTTAGTATAGGTGACACCTTCATCAGCTGATCCTTTCTTATTCTTACGTCCATACTCTTCACCTTTTCTGTCGGAACTGTGCCTGTTGTTACAGATCGCCGACGGTCCTGATTTGGGGAAGCCCTCGCGTCTTGCCTTGTTCCAAAACGACTGCAAGAAAAGCATACCGTGAGGAATAATAATTAAGAGATGTCTGAGTCTGACGCTTTGAACGGTACGGTGTATTCTCTTTTTGTCAACTGACTTTACTCCCTAAACAATACCTGCAGGCGAAAAGAGAACACCCCAAAGGTGCATCGGTATGCGCGTCACTACCTTACAGCTAGATGTGCGACAAAATGAGATTCAAGTCTTCGGCGTCTAGCAGCTATGGTGATACTCACAAACAAGGGTATGGTTTTAACAAAACCTAAAACATAATTCCAGATCACCTTTAACCAAATTGATTCTTTGCGGGTGTAAAATTTAAACCTGCAGTCACGGTGTTCAATTCTCTGTGAGGATACTTGGTCAGAGCGGGCAAACTACAGGCTGTGAGAGTGAACAAATGAATCAGGTGATGAGGCTTTGTGACCTTGGGGAATGTTTGACATTGTACGCTGACTATGTATAGGAGGCTGGTCACGCTGTCTAAGACTTGTCCAGACTCGACTGTCTGCGTGTGGTCGTAATTCAACTGAACTATAGCCAACTGTCGAGCAAGCCTACAAATATACATGATATAGACTCACCTGACCTTCGTGCATGTACTTTAGGATCTGAAAGAAATATTAGCAAATGAAAAAAGTTCTAGTATGTACTATATACTATAACATAAGGATGAAATCGATAAACCATTTATTGTTTGTTATGTCAGATTCGCCAAAATGACTTGAAAGAAAGAAGAAAGACTCGTAAGAAAGTAGGTTCCTGAAATATTGCCATAGCAGATTAATATCATATAAAGTGTTTGTTTTAGAGGAGGAAATGGTGGAGAAAAAGTTGAGTCTGAAATTAATCAACAACTAGGTGTCATTATGTGGGTTTGCTTCAGAAAAGCAATTGGAACTTCCCAGCCAAGAAGCCTAGCTTAGAAGCCAAGAGCGTTGAACTCGTCATGACCGTAACTAATACCACCGTGGGGTGTGATGAGTCTGGAACTTTAAAGGTATCCCATGTGATAAATGACATCTAACATGGATATCATATCTCTACTCATAAAAGACCTTCGTACTAAACCTTCAATCACAGGAATTTCTACATAGAAAAAAGTATAAATAACACAAATATATGCTATTCACATGTCATAATCATTCGTGAATGATCATGAAGCAATCGACTGAATGCAGATACATCTGTTATCCGTGAAGATCATGGTTAGATTGGTCTTCAGCGACCTATGTTTGTCGTATGAGGCGACTAACGGGATTGGGTGGTCGGTCTCGCTGACTCAGTTGACACATGTCATCGTATCTAAATTGCGTAGATCGATGGTCGTGTTGTTGATCACTGGATTGTCTGGTCCAGACTCAATGAGTTACCATTTGCTGCCATATGTCGGAATATTGCTGATTGGTTCGTTAAACATCAAACAAACAAAACAAAACAGATACATTTGTGATACAGAGTTATCTATTGTAGATTATGCAGATGGATAATTCCCACAGTTTCTGTTGTTTGGCTTATGGATGATCTTACTGATACTGGGACGAACAGGATTGAATACAATATAAGTTGTATGCTTCTCTCGAGGGTAATACGGTCTGATGTACGCCTGTTTGTAGCAGCGTCACCCGAGCCGGTAGGCGAGGGATGACACTGCTACAAAAAGGCGTACATCAGACCGTATTACCCTAGGAAGAAGCATACAACGTATTGATCTTACCGCCATGTTAAATGTACAAATTATCATTTTATTTATTTTGAAGATCGCTACCGACTATATGACATGTAAACAAAATGGCGTCTGCCTCTCGACTGGATTTTTAAAATCAGTTAAACAAATTCAAGCTTAAAACTGCTATAAAAATGGTTAATTATGTTTAAGTTGAGTGTGCAAACGACTCAATGTATAAAATAGCTTAAATAAAGCAGTGAAAGTCGATAAAATAAATCTGTACAAAGTGAACACAAAAACAGCTGATCGAACGGTTTTCGAACTCCGGGCACGGCATGCGTCATATTATGACGTCATACGATTGTTAGCGCTTCAGCTTACCGGCGGAGAGCTTGGCGGTTACCATGGCAGCGGGTAATATATTTTCCAGTTGTCACCCTCAAGGGAGGGGTGACACGGAAACTTGTTAAAGCGTCATTGACCAATGAAATTAAAGTATTTTACATGAAAGTAAGATAAATTATTTAATTCACCTTAACTTTGTTAAATTCCTCCTGTGAAAGTGTATCGTTTCTTTGAAGATGGAACTGTTCAGACATTATGTTGCGAGTGCTGGGTCCAGCCAGAGCATCCATACTGATATGATCTGGTGAGAAAGAAAACTTCGGAGGGTTAATGAAGTAGAAAAGCTTTTACAATACATGACAGAAGTAAGTCATTGTTACCTTTTCCTAAATGATACAAAACTGGTAATTCTGAATCTTGATATTGATCTAAATCAAATATTATTGAAATAACACATCCGATCTTCAATCTGAGTAATCAGTTTGGCGTATTATAGGAGCCCTCAATGTTGAAGTATAAAAATGTGCACACACTTTACAATTACAGAATATCAACTATGTCCTACAAGAATTAAATATTCTACCATAGTATGTAAAATGAGTGCATCGATATGTGTCCGTTATCAAATATCAACCAACAAAAGCTCTCACTTGATTCAAGTCTATTTGAAGAATGTTACTGAAGCACAAAAAACATGTGTGCTCCTGTGTGATTGTACTACCTCTACTAGAGAATAGATCAAGTGTTCTTGAAGCACATGAACATGTTTGCTCTTGTGTGATTGTACTACCTCTACTAGAGAATGGATCAAGTGTTCTTGAAGCACATCAAACGTGTGCTCCTGTGTGATTGTACTACCTCTACTAGAGAATGGATCAAGTGTTCTTGAAGCACATCAAACGTGTGCTCCTGTGTGATTGTACTACCTCTACTAGAGAATTGATCAAGTGTTCTTGAAGCACATGAATCATGTGTGCTCCTGTGTGATTGTGTACTACCTCTAGTAGAGAATGGAATAAGTGTTATTGAAGCACATGCATGAATCATGTGTGCTCCTGTGTGATTGTGTCCTACCTCTAGTAGAGAATGGAACACGTGTTATTGAAGCACATGAATCATATGTGCTCCTGTGTGATTGTGTGCTATATCTACTAGAGAATGGAACAAGTGTCATTGAAGCACATGCAGGATCATGTTTGCTCCTGTGTGATTATGCAGAGACTGAGGTTAACTAGTCACTTATGGAACCATATAATCAACATTCATTCTAATTTTACCTTTGTTTGTGCAGACTGGCTTAAACTTTGGAAACATCGCGGCTAGAAAAAAAATACATGTCATTTCATTATGACCTCCCAAGTTAACATTTCGGTATTATATGGGAACAAAAATAATCAAAAATCCGATTCTTATCAAACAGAGAAAGATTATAAGTACAATTGATCTGGCTGTATACTGGCATTGTTCAGAAAACATCTGAACAGTTAGTTCTAAACACGAATTTGTCATGTACAGCAGTACCTTCATCCGTTAGAGCAGCTTGGCACATATCAAATCAAAGTTTAATTGTAGATTGTGACCAGTACTTCCTCATGCGTAGTTTGTGTCTGGCCACGAATGAGGATAGTTTACATGGCAGGGTGCATAATGTCAAAAAAAATTAAAAACACCGGAGTTGGAAAATTCTAAACATCATCAATTCATCATGAAGAACGTTGTGAAGTTGGCCTACCTGGCAAACTTAGTCGTAGCAGAAGTTGTGTAAGCCATTTCTTTTCTCTTGTATCTACCAATTCAAAACATTTCAGGCAGTCGGGAACATCGACGGGTGTTTTCAGTAAAGGTACAATATTGCTGTGTTTTTTGTGGACGCTGTAATGAACAGCTAGATTCAGCTGGTACATCGACCACTTAGACCGGACAAACTCCGGCGACAGCACCACGATTATCCAGTGAGAGTCTTCCAGAAACTCCTGAAACAGATCTGTGATGTACTTCCCACAACAGCTGAAATCCCGGTCGTATTCAGCACATTTTATACCATACTTCTTGGACTCCAATGTGTTGATCATGTCCATAACCCACTTTGTGTCGACATTTGCGTGGCAGAAATATGCCACATATCTCTTGAAATCAGCGCTGCGTTCCGTCATTTTGAAATCTAAAATCCCGTATCATAGCCACGTCAGGATATTATTCCATAACCCAGTTTGTGTCAGCATTGGCGTGTCAGAAATATGCCACATATCTCTTGAAATCAGCGCTGCGTTCCGCCATTTTGAAATCTAAAATCCCGTTTTATAGCCACGTCAGGAAATATTCCTGACTGCAGTACACTGAACTAGAAAATTACCCGTGCGATAGCGTGTCACCTTACACTCGACAGTGGAGCAATCAAAAGCCTAAGTCACGTAGGGCACACACTGGAGAATGAAACATGTTGAAACGTGTTCGTATTCGGCGCTACTCATATTGTTTGTTTGTTAGTTTTAAACATATTTTATTCATTCATAAAAAGGACTGGGCACAAGTTATCCAATATATTTGTGTTAAGGAAGCAAACATTTGATTCTTGTGCGAACACACCTAATGTGCGGTTCACTGGTTGTTGCTTTTATTATTGTTTATCCCCGCGACTACCCGGATGATATCCCAGAATTCTTAACTGGATTGCAATCTCTGCTGCGCCACCCGCAAGCGCTATTAATAGTATAGAAGGTTATCTCCCAATTGACCCGACCGCCTCCGTGGTGTAGTGGTTAGAGGGTCCGCCCGTCATGCCAAACAGACGTTAAAATATGGTACTTGTTGGTCCCTGCCTGGCGCTCGGCATTAATGGGTACAACAAGGACTGATCGGCTCGGAGTCAGTATAATGTGTCTGAGTGGGGTATTCATGCTTCACTGCGGCATGGTATCTCAGTGAGCTAGCACTATAAAACCAGCTTCAGTCTGGGCTAGTACAAGCAGCCGCACATACACATACACACGCATGCACGTCGTCATATGGGCGAAATATTCTCAAGCACGACGTTAAACCCAATTTCACCTCACCTCACCTCACCCAATTGACCCAATTCCCCACGCATCCCCAGGCGGGATAGGTCTGCCGAAATGCCAACAGGCGAAGGCGACCTCCAAAGCACCTAATCGAAGAAGAATGACCCAATTGACAGACAGTCGATTATACATATTATAATAGTTCTTCACAAATCTATATTCGGGCATTTTACATATTTTACACCAATATTTAACAATGTTTTATCTATACATATATACATTGGATAATTAGACATTTTCACCTAACTACATGGTTCGAAGTCGACCGTTTGACATTTAAAAACCGTTTACAACAAAACACTTCGACTTCGAATTTACCAAATCCCCATATTTCAGCTCCATACAAAAGAATTGGACTAATTTTGGTGTCAACTATCTTTAAAAATAAATCATAAGGAAGTGGATTAGACGTATAAAGAGATTTTAAAATATTATGTGCAATTTTCTTAGCTTGCAAAGCAGCGGTTATTCACATGGAGAGACCAAGATAGAGAACATGCAAATGAAATACCCAAATAGTCGTAAGATTAAACAGTTTCCAAAAGAATTCCATTGAAATGCCATTTTTCATATTTGGATAATTTACAACCATTTTTAGATACAACAGTCTTGGGGAGTTTTCTAAGTTAACAGTTAATTAATGACTTTCACAGAAACTTTCTCAAATATTTATACGTTTTTGTAAACCAAATACAGAGTCTGCAAAAAGTACAATATTATCAGCAAAAAGAAGTAGAAACATTTGCACATCAGGGTGAAGCTGTATACCAGTGTAACATGTGGATTCAATTTCCAAAGCTAATTCAATTATAAAGAATGAAAACAATAGCGGGCTTAAAACACACCCTTTTCGTAAACCCGGTGGGCAATCAAACAACTAAGAAAGAGAAATATCATGCACCCGTCCCTTAAGACACTTATAGATATAAGTTAAAAGTCACATGCAACCAAAAAATCATACATAATTAAAACACAATTATCACTTATTCATGACATATAATATACATTGCTGGTTATGAAAAAAACATAAAAACAAAATTATAAGCGTACAATCGCAAATCAAAAGTGCAATATTGTGTACTTGGGTTAACTTCCCACAGAAACGAAGCAGCCGGGATACCGAACCCAGTCAGAGCGGGTGGGTGTGCACTCAAGTGTAACGGCTGGTTTATTAGCTGATGTCCTCACGGCTCATTGTGTGTGTATATAGAGATGTTGGGTTTTGTAAATACATGCTCATTTTTTGTGTATAACATTTTGCAATCAACAGACATCATAACATGTCAAGTGAACAAGTATCACACCTGCTTGTCTGTGTAATTACATAATGTGACAGAGACCGAACTCGGGCCATACATCAATGCGTTTTGTTTATGGTGTATAGCCTGATAGGTGTTAAGTTCAAATTGCATGTGGTCAGTGATCGAAGTTGTGTATTGAATATTGTCATTAGCAGACGGGCAGGCAGACACATATAGGTGTCAATAAAACAAGACATTGAGTTTTGTCCGTGACAACGACATATCTATATCACAGTTAGAAATTCTGTCGACGCTAAATAATGACATTGCTTTTAAGTATCGAACTGAGAAAGTGACTCGGTAAGAAGAACATGTGGTGAAATAGACAAATGAAATGATATAAACAGTTAATCTACTGTCATAACATATAAAAAGCTCGCGCCTGTGAAATATCAACAATACATTAGAAAAATAGCTCACACCAAAGCCTTCTCCGAGTATTCACCGGACAACCCGCTTCCAACCTGCGCGAACCTATTTCACTGCGCATGTGCTATGAGCGCAGCCCAGCTGTTGAAACCACTTGAATTCCCCCAAGCGATTTCGCGCGGTTTTTTACATCGCGTTATTTTTCAACTTTTTAAGTTTAATTTGCATTTTTGATGATTTGTTTCGGTAAGTCCATACCGAAAGGTATCAGAATCTGCAAAGTTGTGTTTTACGTTGCATGTGACCTGGCTTTAAGCATCTGAGGTGAAACGCCTCTATATTTGAAAATGACCCATAGTTTATCCCTGTTAACAAAACCAAAAGCCCGTTTGAAATAAACAAATATAGCATAAAACTTCCCCTTTTTCTCAGATAGATAACCCTGGATAACAGATTTGTACTGCAACCTTCCCTAAATCCTGCTTGTGAAGATTCTACAACCATTTCGTATGTATTTGACCAAAATGTTATTCTATTAAGTACAGATGTATATAATTTACTGGAAGTACTAAGAAGGGATATTCCCCTGTAATTATTTTGATAATTACGATCCCCCTTCTTAAATAAAGGTACAACAATTGCTGTACTCCAGCTGTCTGGAAAAGTGGATGACTCGAACATAATATTGAACAATAGTTCCACATATGGTAACAAAATATACACTGAATGCTTAAAAAACTCCGGCAATAAATTATCTTCACCAGGGGACTTTGAAGATTTAAGCTTGAAAATAGCATCAGACATTTCGTCCCTAGTAATTGGTGAATCTATATATAGTACATGTTATGTCATCAACGTCGTAATCAAAATCACGTTCATTGATATGGGGCTCAGCATTATGCTTTTGTTTTGATACAAGTTCTAAAAGCAGGAAAACAATACTTCAATATTAAATTTGTTCATAGCTCTGGGGGCTGGTAATGTGTTTAGCGTATTCCAAAATATCTTTGCATTATAGATATTCTGTAGTAATTTGTCCTTATTGACGCATTATAGAGTCTTTGCTTGTTCCGTAAAATATCATTGCACTTGTTTCTGCAATCAACATATGACTGTGGGGATATGTCAGATTTAAGCCTTTTAAATACATTTAACAGTCTTTGGGTTTCTAATCTAAGGAAATTACAACTCGCGATCAAACCATGGCTGATTAGATTTGATATATTTGTTGCAGCGTTTCTTTGTAAAGTCAGAAGTAAGGTGATGAAAGGAAAAGGACAGTTCTGGAACAGGAGCCGAAGGAGCCCCACTTTTAATTGGTCAATGAGAGTCACGTGACCACAATAGGTGTCTTATATTGCATGTTGTGGTGCAATACCGAATCTATATTTAGCCAGGGAAAGACCCGAGCTATAAATAGAATGATCAGCCTCTCGCTGTATGACAATGAGTGAGTGAGTGAGTTTAGTTTTACGCCGCACTCAGCAATATTCCAGCTATATGGCGGCGGTCTGTAAATAATCGAGTCTGGACCAGACAATCCAGTGATCAACAGCATGAGCATCGATCTGCGCAATTGGGAACCGATGACATGTGTCAACCAAGTCAGCGAAACTGACCACCCGATCCCGTTAGTCGCCTCTTACGACAAGATAGTCGCCTTTTTATGGCAAGCACATGGGTTGCTGAAGACCTATTCTACCCCGGATCTCCACGGGTCTGTATGACAATGAAGTCAACGCTTCAATTCAAATTGACTGGAACAAGAGCTAAGGGATCCCTCTTTGAATTGGTTAGTGACAGTCAAGCGACTACAATCGGTGTGTAATAGTGCATGGTGTAGAGCAATAACAGGGGAATCCTGGGTTATTTACAGGTAGTCTGGTTGACGAGTGTCACGTGACCTAGTTTAGTCGGAGCGTTATATAACGGGTCGGAGACATATGGAGAGGATAAGATAACATTCCCATTGTGTGTATGAAAAGTAGGTCATGCTCCGGCGATCGTTTCTGTGACAGGTTTGAGCAAGTGTTTATATATATAGATATATATTATATGTTACTCGATAAACAACAATCTTTTAGTATTCAGATCAGAAAGTATTGCTGTGTAATGGTAATGATTTGTCAGCTACTTTGCAAAGGGTCCACTTTTCAAGCCGATATTGGAAAAGTGAGATCTCTGGAACCTGAGATTGATACCCGTGAGCTTGATGGAAAAATACTACAGTGGATGAAACCCACTGTGAAGGACATTCTCTCCCATGTGGATCTATCAGAAGCTGAAGATTTGAACCTTGATCGTGATGCAGACAGTGATCAGGAGACAGACACTGAATAAATCCTTTCCTTGATGTAGATAATGTAATGCTTATACTTATATTGTAAGATACAGTCGGGATACCCTCCAAACCAGTATCATGTTATAAACATGGAGGAAAATAAATATTGAATCAACTTTTTTGTGTGTTTTGCTTCATATTGTTATCAAGTACAGGAGCAACCTCATTTTACACAGATACACAACAAATGCACTGGGGTTGATGTTCAAGTTTTATTTCAAAAACCAATTGTATGTTGAAATGCATACAATAATTAGTGCTACATACGTATAGTACATATTCATCTCAGCACAAATATTCTGGAATTAGTTAAATAATACATATTCAATAAAATCAGCGTATTCAAACACAAGAGGCTCAGGTTTAAGAGAAGTGAGTCCTCTATTTACATTGTTTTTGTATGAGGTGTTACATTCATATCATCCGCTAAACGTTCAGTTGTACCTATAATACACAGATATGTGAGAGTTTAGTAGGAACTATTCACAATAAATATACATGTATACATGAAGTTTGAAGCTGCTCATAACGAATAGTATATACAGAGAAAACAGTATGAAATGGTTCCACATCAATAACTGAACGTCTTCTGTGTTTTGTAGTGACCATGAGCTAAAGTATGAACCCCATCATCTAGGACAAAGCGTTTATCATCGAATGGGCTCAAACTGACTTTATTAATGGTCACCGTATAGAGTTGGTGAGTTTGGCTTTGAATCTGAGTCATGTTGTGCCTCATTTGACAATGCTCAGTCAAGCATTGCTTGTACATGTCATGCCTCAACTGTTTCTTAATGACTGCGTTAGCGACCCCCTTTGCTGTTTTCTTTTCCTTTCCCTTATACATTAGGGAATACATTTTTGGACGCAGGCCAACAAACTCCTCAATGGCTACACCACCTACTTCATCTTTGAATTTCCCCAAAACTTTGGGATTTGCTTTAGAGTAGAGAGGATGGACAGGGTCATAGTTGCTGGTGTCAAATAAGTCGGCATGATTTGCCATGTCAGCGTAAATGTCAGCTGTTTCGATTTCATAACACAGAGAATCCGTGTCTGTAAAGCACAGTTGAGCCTTTTCACCATACTTTTGCTTGATAAAATTATAATGAAAATCATACATCACTATCTTGGACATCTCCAAAATAGAAAACCCTGCAAACAGAGGTTGGTTTGAGAATAAGCTTGGTTTCTTTAGATGGACGGCTGCTATATCATCATTGAAAATTTTGAAGGCTTCGAATGTTGGTTTTGCACAAAGTTTTCTGAATCGTTGAGCAGAATTCACAAGTTCAACATTGACATGTTTTCTCACGTTCATCATCGATCTTCCAAAACAAGAGTTGTTCATTAACTTGAAAAAGGCTTTTTCTGTTTCATTTTTAGCATCCTTGCGTTTTTGAGTGTTGAAGTCTATGTAAGGCTTCAGCCATGGAGATTGTTTAAACATAATGACTCTCCGGATTTTGACTAACTTCATACCCTGACTTAAATAAAACTGTAGATTTCTGTAGTGTAGCACATACTTTGTCTTATCATTTAAGTTTGGAACTAATGTTCTTACTGGTTGGCCTTTGATACAAAGCTTATTTCTCAACTCCTTTGAATGGGGAGAGAGCATGTCATTGCTGATCAACACAGATTCAGGGGCTAATGGATAGTCACTGTGGCTGTCATGTAATTCCCTGGGATAGTCGAGATCAACTTTCAGAATATACCCAGTTTTAGAATCAGCTGGGATGCTTCGTACATCTAACTTCTCTATGTCCTGTGAATTCATCCACTAAAGTCTCGTTCAGGGAGTGCTTGGGACATAGCATGACCGTACAGAGTATTAGCGTCCCAGTACATGATATAGGACGTTGGGTTGTCAGGCTGGAAGGTCTGCAGGTCAGGGTGATTCCCCTTAGCATACTTTTTGGAAATCATGGAAATACCCCCTCTCAGACCTGCCTCAATCATGAGATGCATATCTAAATCAGTGAGCAATTCTAGATGTACACTCCCCATTTTCAGCATGGCATCCCACCCAAGGCCTGGCAATGTATAATAATGAGCGGGGTCTAACTGATAGTTTTCTAAGGAGGTTTGTCTAAAATTTTGAAAGACATCAGCTAGCAACAATACATCTGTTTTCATGTACAAGTCATGGTACTCACCCACTGACTTTAAATTGAAGATTTTCCAAACGTTTTGAGCATATGAATAGTCATCCTCTGGTATAGAACTATCTGTCAGTTTGTTATAAAAGTCCTCCTTTGACGGAAGGTGAGTCATATCAAATTTTGATTCATCGTCCATGAAATCATAAGGATATATTCCCTTTCGCAGGAGTAATATATTCTGTTGGTCATTAGGAAACTCCCGCTTCAGTTGTTTGAACTTCGAAGTACCCTCAGCTCGGAGGTTTTCAACTAATGTATCAAGCGATGCATTTAAAAACTGAAGAGAATCAATGAATCGTAATTTCCCTACCGAGAAGGAAATATACTTCTCCATGTTATTTGCCAGACATTGAAGTTTTTGTTTCAGTGTTTTGTCTAAATATTTCAGAAGGAGATGACTGTCATAACCTCTCAAATTATGAAATACTACAGGAATGAAAAAATCATCATATTCATTTTGTTTCCCCTTCTTTTTTGTAAACTGATATTGCAGATTGCAGTTTTGATGAGCAGCTCCACGATAATTATATCCCGGAGCCAAATGATCATGGTCGCGGACTTTCCATGCTTGCTCAGTGAAGGGTTTAGAACATATATGACATATGTTTGCCTTTTGAAATGCTTTCTCATCGGCTTCACTTAACTGCATTGGTTCCACTACTTTCAATTTATCCCCAATTTCTTTTCCTTCTTTAAGCAAACAGTCAATGAAATGTGAAATGACATTAGGGCCTCTATAAACAACAGCAGGTTTACTATGCGGAGTATGAAAACTGACAACTTTGTAACAGAACCCAGAGGGCACATGTTTTTGATAGCATGAAGTGTAGGATGTGCAAGGGTTTGGACTACAACCACTCACTTTACGTGTGATGGACTCAAAATCAGCATATATGATGTAAGGTACTTCAAGCTGTTTCTGAATGCACTTGAAGTTTACCCATGTTTCTTCCTCTTTCTCTGGCAGTCTTATCCTTTGCATCGAATAATTTGAACAGTAAGGTAGGTGGTCATCTAACAAATCCTTTCTGCTTAAGCCATGAAGCCATCGTCTACAATAAAATCTTGCCCCATCATGTTTGGTTCGATCCCCAATTAATCTGCTGAGATTTCTAATCAGACAAAAATGTCTCTTGTCATTTTGACCTATGAGCAGTAAATCAACATTGATGGGAGATTTAACTGTGCTAACACGTAAAGGGAATACGCCCTCACCTCCTTCATACCCAAAAACATTAACGCAAATTTGATTTAACTTTTCAAACCTTGATATTTGCGACAAAGAAATTGGCATATCTAATTCACTAAGGTCCAACTCAGATTCATGTGGAATATAGTGACTAACCCTATGAGGATTGTGTCTGACCGGGTGTAGAGCTGCCAACACAGACCACACAAAACACTTACTATCCTCATTATGAATGTTTAGGATAGCTTTTTTATCAGCAAGGTATTTGGGGAGAGGAATGTAGCTACTTGCTGATAACGGTGTATACTCAGCTGTATTGACTTCCAATTGTACAATTTCATCTAGAATCCACCCACTACCCTCAGCTTGAAACTCTTGCATGGAGGTATACAACTTCTGGTAGGCTTCAGCTATTTGTTCAGCTAACTGAGATTCGATAGTGGTGACATGATTTGTGCTCCTTAACACAGGTTCAGCCAAAATGCTTTCATTGCTTTCATTATATTTTATAAATTTAAGTCTTAAAGTTAGGAACCATTTCATACCCTTTTTCTCCTTTAAGAAATCATGTAACAGTGACTCAATATTTGTCTGTTCATCTGCAGAAAACTGCAATATATCAACATTGTTCGATACTGTTGGCGTCAGTGTTGTTGTTGTCACAGCATCCTCCAGCGCCCTAACTTGCCCTGCCCCGACCTGGTTTCGTCTCGCCTCATACCTCTCTCTCCGTCTTACACAGCTGTCACACTGTTCTACACGTCGGCTGAAGAAACGTTCGGAGAGAGGCCGGTGACACTGTTTACACTCTCGACCTTTGTATGAACATTCCTGACAGAAACGCTTTCCAGGTGGTAAACACTTATGATGCCCACAAAAGTTGCAGGTCTCATATCGCGCAACGGCCACGTTATTCACCGAGTTTAGTGGTTGAAGGCAGACACGCTTTACCCGAGGATGACCTACTTCAGTCTCAGCCGACCGCTTCCCTCTCAGTCTACAAGTGTGCGCTTTGTAGTTATCCATGCGAGAAAAGGCATACTGTAAAACATGGAGTGGAGTCTTGGAGTGGAGTCTTGGAGTGGAGTCGGGAGTCTGGAGTCTATGTGCACATGCCACTTCAGTAAATACTGATTACTGTTTAGAAATATATCATTAATGGCTCTTCCCAGTTGTCATTTATACCTTTTGAATCACCGGTTTAAAAAAGTACTGCAAATTCATATACATGCTGAAATACCTAATTTGTTTACAAATATAATGTAACTATATATTATATTTGTAGTTTATACAGGATATTGCCACTGTTCCTTCATTGACTGCTATGCAATAAATATGTTATCTAATTCATCTTAGATATTAGTCTTTCTTGCCTTACAGATTTGGGAAATTGTCATTGTTCATATCTATACATAGAGATGCAAATCCTAAAGATAATCCAACACATTTACAGTCCAGATAGTTATGTTTTATTTCTGAAATTTGATATTTATTAGGGAAAGTTAATACAAGTATATAAATCATGAATGGGTAGATGGTTTTGTCTTTGTAATTGTGCTATTTGTTATGTAAAACATAAAACCAAACAACAATACTGTATTCACGTTTATATTTTGCTGATGGGACTCCTGATGTCATTTCAAATCTTTTCAGTTCAAAATATGTTACATGTGACATATTTATAAAACAAACTATCTAAACGATGAACGATATATCTTGCCATACTGAAATTTGTGCTGAATCCCTGGGATGGCTGTCAAGTGTC